ATCCGATTTGTAAAGTAAACTTTCGCCAAACCACTTCTCTCTGTACGTTCAAGGCAGAACCCCGAACTCCACAGGTTTATGAAAAGTGATGTCATCATGGCTGGATGGGGAAGCAGCCTCTCAGGTTACCGCGGTGATTAAACTCTCCCTGTGGGGGATGTTAACACTGAGCGCTTTCACAGGAGCCACACTGATGTCTGCTGTAACTCTGCAGCATCACGTCTAACACTGGAGCTCTGCTGTTTCTTTTTCTGCTAACTGAACTGACTTTCAGCTTTATGCATCAATAAAGACCATATTAGTGAGCTTTGTTGAAAACCTTATTTTGTAAGTTTACTCGAAAGTAAGCATCGCAAAGGGACCCTCGACAAAAATTCAAGGGGTATATTCCGTTGAATTTCGTAATATGGCAGAAAATATGATTTGTGGCAAACCCACCCTCATATGTCCCTGTCACACCAACGCGGTTCCAGGGCCGGTTCGGAGCTAGAGCCTGATAATTACCGTTTTTTTCCTTGCGGAGCCGGCTCTTTTCCGCCGAAAATCGGTGCTTACCAAGCACCGACATTTTTTCGGTTTAAAAGAAAGAACCGCATACGTCACGCTTATGTCGGAGGCGGGGGCAGGGGCGAGATTAACCTGAGCTAACGGTTTATGGCGAGTATAGCAAATACAAGTTGTAACAAGCAGTAGTGCTGAGCAAAGTGACTAGAACTGTCACAAGTTAGACACTTCTATTATTGTTTGTTTGGTGGCTCATCTAAACTCTCCTGTCATTTCAGATCCTGCCTTCCTCCAGGCCCTTGTAATCAGCTCACTTCCCTCACCTGGTCTCCCCAGCCCTTCCCCTCACCTGTTACTCATTCCCTCATCACTCCACAGTATTTATACCACCTCACTATCACTTGTCCTTTGCCAGATTGTCTTGTCGTTTCCACCAAGCTCTCCAGTGAGTGTTACTCTCTAGCCTAGATTTTTGTCCTGCCCGGTTTTTGATCCCTGCCTGCCTGTTTACGGATCTCGAGTTCCTGCCTGCTCCCTGTCTGGTTTTGGTTGCCTGTCTGACGGATTTCCTGGTTTTGACCCTGCCTGTCCCTGACCTGAATAAACTGAACATTGCTAAACACTGGTTGTATCTGAGTCGTGCTATTGGGTTCTGATCTGTACCTGTGATCGTGACACACTACAGCTTGACGTTTGTCAAATCTGAATATTTGGACAGGACCACAGGACTCCTAATCCCTTGGAGCGGTGACAACAATCAACCCATCACGCTGCTGTCTGTCAGACTGTTCCACTTACACCTGCTGTTAAGAAGGCTTTCCAAACGCTCGCCAAACATGGACATTAGGCGTGTCTGTGGCTTTAGGTGACCGACCATCTTCTAGGCTAATGTGCGAGGTCACTTTAATCACACAATAAATCATTCTATTAGTCAGTTGACAACTCTATTGGGGTTTTCCCCCGCAGGCAGAGATTAAGTCATCTGTCACGCTCAATTATAGGAGATTAAGCTTCAGGTAGGATAGAAACGCTGTAGAGGTCAGTGGAGTTTTCTTACAGAATGCAAACACACTTTATCTGAGATTTTATGAAACATAAATGTTAAGATATTGGAATACAACGATAGTATTCAGTTGATGGTGGTATTGTGAGATTAAACATTCACTGTAAAGCAAAGACTGGCTTTATGGGATACTTACTGGCATCATCCATGACATCCAGGTCATTAGCCAACTCAGCACTGGTCAGGTGGTACTGCTCAGGATCACTGAGCGCTGTGAGCAGGATGAGCAACACCACGGCATTGATGAGCTTATAGGGACAGAAGACATAGTGGTGAATAAAAAGTCAACAAATGGAGGGAAATACAGAAAGAATGCAAAATGGAGGAGCTGAAAGTGCTCATGAAATGTACAAATATAAACATTTTCATGAGCTGCAGGGAAACAAAACAAAATCCTTAGTGGAGATAGTGTAGCCATGTTAAATGACATAAAGTCAAGCTCTAAGTCCAGGCACATACATTGGTTTTGGTCTGGCCGACGCAGTTCATTATGCAGATGACTCATACATCCCCATTGATCAGATTAATGTGATGGAAAATTCTCAGCCGTCGATAGGGGTCACACAAAATCTACTACCTGAAGAGGCCAACTTCTAATTTATTCATAGGGGGCGGAGAGAGGATTTTTCCACAAGTGGTGTTTGGTTTAGCTAACAGTCTCCTGGTCATTCAGTTAAACAGAGGAAGATAGCCACAAGTGAGAATTGAATATAAAAAAGATTGCACATATATTTTCATGTTTTGAAATATCCACAGTATGAGTTTTTCTAATTATAAATATTCGTCGTCTCAATTAGGTAAATTGTGTATACATCATTGATGTGAGAGGAACATAAACCAATGAATAACCCACTGAATAATGCCCATTTAGAGATAAAGAACCATCAAATAAAGGCCTCTATAAGTCAAATAGCTTAGCTAACAGTAAAATAAAATGGTATGCTTTAAAGTTTGCAGTGGGCAAAAAAGCAGTACAATTTATTAATTTTCCTAAAATACACTAATAATATAGGTTTGAATCTTTCTTAAATTCCCTCATAATAATCATAAAATGCAGCACACGGTATGAAGGCTGTCTGATGTGCTCCTGCTCCTACTTTCCCTGCTCTGTCTCTGCAGGGCTCCAGGAGAAGTGACAGCTGAGGGACTCACCATGTACCAGACCCCCAGGATGATGGTTCCAGTGCGGACATGGCAGCAGAGGCAGCAGCTGGTGGAGAACCAGCGGTCCCAAGGGGAAAGCATCATGTTGTCTGCGCGTGTGCTAACAACAGCGCGAGCGCCAACGAACGATGTCGGTGTTTAAAATGGAAGGAGCTCGCGCGTTGTGCCTCCGGTCGGTCCTCTGTTGATGAACGGGATCCGGCTGCTTCTGACCTCACCGTGAGCGGCTTAACAAACGTTAGTCAAGCTAACGTCAAGGCAAATATGACTTCCGATTTCACAATAAAACTATTTTCTATGTAGCCTACGAAGTAGGATACGAAGAAGACAATAAACACGTTGTAGATCAATGTTTTATGCAAATATCCTTTCTTTCTCTCCTTAATTATCAAAATGCAGTTGATAAATTCAGAAGATGTACCATTATTAGTTTTTGTATTACTTTACTTTTTTTTTATTCAACCAGCGATCATGTAACCACAGCCAAAAAGAGTCACTTCAAACGTAGAGACTGTCCTGTGCTTCATGAAATATTTACACATTTCATCATTTTAACACGACTTTTTGCCGAACACATCATTAGTCATGCCAGGGCTTCTGTTTTTTTTTTTTTTATACCATAAATCAAATTAAAATACTGTTTTAATGTATACTCTTTGTTGTTATATACAGTCTGTATATGCCTCCTCTCTTCCAAACATCTATATCAAACATTCCCCTATGTCAGCTTCTCGAGCTATCCTAGCCTACGTGTTGCAGTTATTTTAAACGCCAATTTACTGATTTTAACTGTGTTTTAATAGTTTTTGTTTGCTACCAAGACCGTTGGTCTTTTATGCTAAAAAATATTGTCATCAGCAATGCCCTTATTCCCCCATGGGAATAAATAGTAGGTTATTTTATTCTGCCATACAGCCTAGGAATGTATCAAAAGAAAACGTTGATTTAATGAAGAAAGAATGTTATACCTCCCCTGTGTTCCTCACAAGAACAAACAGTTTGCCTCGTTTGTGCTTGATTAAAGAATAAGCAACGCAAAATTATGAACATAAAGCAATGTTTAATTTCTTCAAGCCATGTCGTTGCCTTATTTGTTCTTTAGACAGTTAATACTCTGCATACAATGCACACAAGTAAATATTTGACCCAACGCTCTTATTTTGAAGGCTGAACTGCTTCCTGTGTGACTCTGGGCTCTTGATGCAGTTATCAGTCCTGCTGATGATAAACACTGGGACAAACTAATAGGATCAAATGCCATGATGTAACCCGTCATTTCCAGAAAGTTATAGAAAGGAAGCTTAACTTTAATACTTTACATTTAGAAATGACAAGTGGAATCGTGGCGTGGTTTAGGCCTACTCCCTTTAAATAATAACAAATATATATTCTAAATACATTCACCTTTTTCTTCTGACATTGTTCAGTACGGACCAAATTCTGTCTTTAAAGTATTTTAGTATTTCATCTTACTTCTTCCTTCTCTCTGTCTATACCTGTGTACTCTCATGTTCCGATTAACCCAGCTTCCCCAAATTTCTTTCNCGGGCTAGATCTCCATGGTAACTTATGCTGAACAGCTAACCTGCTCCGGAGCAGGTTAAGTTCCAGGATAAGAGATCAACTCAGTGAAAGCACCGCCTGCTGACGCAGGCGGTGCTTTCACTGAGTTGATCTCTTATCCTGGAACTTAACCTGCTCCGGAGCAGGTTAGCTGTTCAGCATAAGTTACCATGGAGATCTAGCCCGGTAAGAAGTGAACCAGCGTCGTAGGACCGGCAACCCAGAGTTTTCCCTGAAGTTAGCTCGCTAAGCAAAAATCCGGCTTCGTAGTACAGGCCGCTGCTGCATTATCTGACCGGACTCAACGCTGTTTGTGTTTACAAACAGTTCCGTGGAAACATTCATTGATAGACTGCACAACAAGAGCTATTTCATATCTTCATACAGATGTTAACAACTTCATGGTTACCTCGTATTTGTTTAAACTTAGAATAAGTTACTCATGTCTAGTCTAAAAAACGGTAAAGGTTGTGTATATTTACACTGACTTTTGATAAAACTAAGCGGCTTATCAGATTTTAAGACAAAAATATGTTTACAAAACGATATGCCATAAAAGATTTTTAGAGTTTTATTTTTGTTATTTTTAATCCAAGAGATGCTGATTTGAAACCGTTGTTGCGTATTATGGCATTTCCTGTTTCAGCTGGAGAGAGGGGAGTTCATCCCAAAGCTTGCCGCTGTATTTACACCCTCCACCTGGAAGAAGGGAGCCTCATTAAGCTGCAAGTGTGACTACAGACAAGGGGAGTGGCTAGGGTGTGGTTTGGAATTGGGCCGTTATGTTTACCATCACCTCCTGCTCCCTAGTGGCCATTCAGAGGTATTGAGACAACAATAATAACACACTGAGCCAGGATCATTCACTCGACACAGGTATTTGTTTTAAAACGATTTAAATGTGTGCCAGTCCTTGAAGGTCTCTTGCTTATTCAACAATAGCTGATTTATGCACCCTGTGCCACCAAATAAAGTAAAATTGAAATGATCCTGTGCATTGTGAGGAGTAAATAATGACGTCTCTGTCAGGACGTCACAGAGCACAAAGTTCCTGTTCTCCGCCACCGGTATAAAGGAGGATGCTGGGGGAGGCTCAGTGTTAATGTTGGGCTTGCAGAGGGAGTGATGTGCTATAGCACAGGAAGTTTATCTGGGTCAACTACGCACGATGGGAAGCTGCCGTGTTCCCCTTTTCTGTTCAGTACTGTGTGCCACTGGACTCTTCTACAGCCAAACAGGGGGATACAAAACCAAACGCTTCACTTATTTCACTACGACAGAGGACAGCAATGAAAGGCAACTGGTGAGCTACACCTGATAGTCTCCCAAAGCACAAGTGCTAGTCAAAATTCTTCAAAATGTTGTTTCTTATTTGATGTTCTGCTGATATTCTCAAATTCATAACATTTCTGCCTTTTCAGATCATTGATTTACATGGAGTTTTGGAAAGACTACAGAACAATCAGTTTCCAGCTCTAAGAAAAAAGCATGGCTATCTGTCTGTGGTATGTAATGTAACAAATCAGTCCATTTGCAATGATCTAAATCACTTAAATCAACCTATTCAGTCCGTTTAAAAAGTGTTTATTACCTTTCAGTTAAACAATTTATTTTGGTGTTATATATTTTCAGTGTGATCCAGGAGACCAGTGTGCACTCAGAAAAGGCTCAAGGATCGGGAAACTATGTGACTGCTATCTGCCGAGAACATGCAACTCTTTTCTACACCGTTGTTTGTGATTCTCTGTGTGTTACAACATAAAACAAACAGGGTAAAAATCTATAAACTTGTGATCTATTTGATTGCATATTAGTATTTGATTTGATCTTTTCTTCTGCAATAAGCATTTTTCAAATTCAGTAGTCCTATTCTATTAAATGTGTTGTTGAGCGGGTTGAGTGAGTTGAGTGCTTGTATTTTGTTCCACTGACCTGTACAGTGGGTCCTTTCTTGGTCCACATGGATTGTTTCGTCTCTTTAGGCGTAGCTATAAACATGACAGGCAGAGACTCCCTGGAGGCCATGAAGTCATTCTTGATCTCTGTGTAGTCGGAGACTGCACGTGACAGAGAGGTGTACAACAATTTAACATTGCGTTCTTTCAGTGTGTATATAAAAAGAGGTCAGAGGTGTATTTGTTTGCGTGACACCGAGGGAAAGGGGGTGTGAGAGCTTGCCTGCAAGCTGGTTGTTGAGGTTGACTATCAGCGGGTTGTTCCTCCAGTCAAAGGAGGCGAGCAGATGAAGGAAACGAAGGAAGCCAACCTGAGGAGAACTGAGGGAGACAGAAATATATTGACATGACCTACTGAACGAACAAAGAGAAGTGACAAAACAATGTGTCCACTAATGACTTTGAGAATTTATTAAAAAGTAGAACTGGTAGTTACCCAGGAGGAGTAAAGGGTGCGGGCTGCAGGAAGAGGGACGCCACCAGCAGGTCTGCTGTGTCCTCTGTGATGTCTTCACTGAAGAGTTGAGCCCCCAGCCAACGCTTGGCCAAGCGACACACTGCCCCGAAACACGGGTGCTCCTGCTGGAGACTAACGAGACCAAGATGATATGTATAAGATGGAGCAAAACAAAATGTGATAATTGTGCGTGCAGAGCAAGCTAAATAAAACAGGAAAGAGACAAAAATATGTTGACCAAAGGTTGAATAAAGTGAACATTTAGAACCAATAAAAATGTATCATGTATTATATCAGCAACATGTAAGGTTGAAAATAGTGTGGTAACCTGTAAGAGCACAACAACCCTGCTTTCCAAAACAAACACACAGATATTGCTTTGTGTTACTGTTTTAGTTTTACCCATGCAATGTGCTGGTGAGTATCGGCTTGTGATTTGTGGCCATCTCCAGAGCCTGAGCCTCCTCGTTGTCCCTAACAACCAGCAGCCCCTCGGCATTCACACTCTCCCTCAGCACTTGAGGCTCCCGATGGTAGGCAACCTGGATGCGGAACACCAAGCCATCCTGGATGCACAAAAATATTTGAATTAGCTAGCATAAATAAATGAATACATAAAAAAGTTCTATGACAACAACTTTCCTAGACATAACACAAACGTATAATTAGATTCCTCAAAACAAAAACCACAGTCAAATTACAGATAAGTGCGCAACCTGTACACAAACTAAAAAATATACCTTCAAGACATCTAGGTGTGTAGGGCAGGGCTTGCATGTATAATTATGGTGCTTCTTGAGTAACTCTCCCATGCGGATGTGGAAGGCGGTGCGGATGTGGCGAATGGCTAAGCGGTCATGTGGCCACTTTCCACTCCCCTCCATGTGACAGATCACTGCAAAAGCAGGGTTACCAATGATATTAGTTTGCATATCAACATGAGTTCCAATAGCTTAATATCTGTGGTTAAGGACCTATGGGTATTCCTACTTTGAATACATGGGTTGTCACTTAGCAGGTAAATTACAGAAATGAATACAATACATGAAAAAAAAAAAAAAAGAAAAAAAAAAAGTTAGATGTAGTTTTAAACTGATTAAACAAGAGTTAAAACTCCTAAGTATTTGCTAGTAGTGGTAGGCGTATACCTGTGATAGGGGTGATGTAAGCAGGGCAGGGTTTGCCTACTTTTGGCACCAATGATCTGGAAGTCTTTTCTCTTTCAAAGAAGGAATAGTCCATATTGAGTGGCACAGGAGGAAAGACCTGCAAGGCAGAAACGAAATGTTGGAGCGGTCCTAACGTCAAAGTCACAATTTATAATATTAATTCAAATTAGGAGAAATAACTTAACTTTCACTACTTCTACAGTAATAAAAGCAGTATGATGTCAAGAACAAGAGCTTTACCTGTGTGTATCTGAGTGCAGGGTGGGCTCCTTGCACTGCTGTGATGGAGAGAGGCAGACCTTCCAGCCTCCACAGTTTTCTACTCAGGTCATCATAGGACTGAACAACCAGTAAACTCTCCTCTTCTCCAGTACTAGGCACCTGCAGAATACAATACACATCAGTAACTTGATATATATATATTCCTTGATAGATATATATATATATATATATATACACACACACACACATACACACACATGATTAATACTATAAGATGAAACAGCAACAACTTCTCCCATCTGGTGGACTACTAGACCATTTAAATAAGTAAGCAAGAAACTCAAAAATTCACATGTAATACACCATTAATTAAATGTCTGTTCCAACAAGAACAAAAACTACTAAATGTAATTAACAATACTTAATTAAATACAAATAGCATTTAAAAAAGATGCAGGATCTTCTTTTTGGATAAACATAGCACAACAAGTGAAAAACTTGATTCTGCATGTTTTGAATGAATAACACAAACGTTTTATATTTGTATTTTTTGTCTAAGCCTAAACGATTTGGCATTACCTTTTAACATCAAGGACATGGATTTCAAGGCAATTTACGAAAGTAAATCAAGAAATTAAGTAAACAAGCTGATCTTCAAGTTACTCAAAACACTGGTCTGAGGACAAGGATTTAGTATGAACATTAAATAAATCAACAGTAGGTGGCGATATATGCTCCAAGTGGAAGCGATTCGCCATTAAAGAAAAGAAGATGATTACCTCACTTCCTGTTTTGATGACGTCATCCAACAGCGCACCCACATACCGTATAGCACTTTCGGGGATATCTGCATGCCTGGTGGATAATAGGTATATTATTTTCTTTATAAAAACGAGGTTGCAATAAATTCAAACACACATTCGCCTCACTGTACATCTGTTAGGGCAATGCCGAAGTGAAACTGGTCGCATGTTGTTTTTTTATTAGCCAAAAGACCGATTTTGCGAGTTGGCGTACAATTTGCTAACGCTAGCTTGCTAACCTAATTTTCAGACATTAGTCCTCTGACTGAATAAACAATGAAGCGAGTGAGCAGGAGACGGAGCTCTGTGTGGGACTGCTTTGAACAAGAGGGGAAGATTGTCCGCTGCATGAAATGTGACGCTACATTGAAGTACTGCGGAGGAGCCACCACCACCATGATGAGCCACATGAGCAGGCACCATGCGTCCACCGCACCGCTGGACGAAGACGAGAAACCGGTCATATGCCGTGTTCAGAGCCTCGAGGAGGAGAGTACCGCTAATTCGGAAATAATGCAGGTTGCTATTATGTCCCCCAATATAAATATCATGAATGCAAACCCCACTGAGCGTGACTGCGGAGTGAAGAGGCGCCCGAAGAGGAGCTCTGTGTGGGACATTTTCGTAAGAGTGGACGACGAGGTTCACTGTACAATGTGCGACACAAAGCTTAAGTACAGGAGCAGCACCACCAACATGATGTACCACATCAAAAACAACCACCAAGGCACTGAATCTCCCCCTCGGGGGATTAATAAAGGTCCATCATCTTCTTCTTCTTCTTCTTCTTCTATGCCCAATGATGGTGTGTCGGTCGCAGCCCACACAGAGGTGACTGAGCTCATCTCCAGAATGATTGAGAAGGACATGCTTCCCATCAGCCTGCTTAGAGGTGATGGTTTCCGTGAGCTACTCGCATACACTGTGCATACTTATAAAATGCCATCTGCTGAAGATATTATACGCCTTATAGAAGGACATTTCCAGGAGAAAGCAGAGGAGCTTCTAGTGCAGCTTGGTAAAGTGGAGAAAGTGGCTCTCACTGCTGACTTCTGGACAGCCCTCCCATTTCAGAGATATGTTACAGTTTCCTGTTCATTCATAACAGAAGACTGGCAGGGCAGGTCAGTTGTGCTGCAGACACACAAGCTATCACCCGACAGCCACACTTCTACAGACAGTGTCACAGAAAGGCTTTTTAACACTGTGGAAACCTGGGGTATTGATGGGAAAGTGACTGCATGTGTTCATAACGACACACAAGGCATTCTGTCAGCCCATGAGTGTCCCCCTGTCACCTGGGACTATGCCACTTGCTTTGCTACTATATTGCAGCTGGCAGTCAGTGTTGGGCTGAGTGAGGATTTGGTCCGCATCATCGTTGCCGCAGGGAAACTAGTCAAACACTTCAATCACAACTTGCAGGCATGTGAAGCCTTGGAGCAAAAGCAAGTTCACATGTGTCTGCCAAAGCACAAGCTTATCCAGTCAAGCAAAGCTAGATGGGACACAATCTGTGATATGTTTGAGCGATTACTGGAACAACGGTGGCCAATTAAAGCGGTGCTCTCCGATCGCACAATCACCAACCGACAGGAAGCCCAGATGCTTGAGATTGAAGACGACTGCTGGCAAATAATTGAGAATTTCACACCTGTGCTTGCAACTCTGAAATGGGCGACAACAGTGATATCTGCTGAGACAGAAGTGTCCATTTCAAACATCTACCCGATCACATTCAGCCTTATTCAGACCCATCTGGTGCCAAAAGAAAACGATGTGGAACAAGTCTCCGAGTTCAAGCTGAAGGTTCAAAAGTTACTTCAAAATCACATGGAGGTAGGCATAAACTAATCATAATTTACTGACTGAAATATATTTTGCAATCATTTTAGCAGAACAAGTGCTAACTAACAACAACATTTGATTATGATAAACAATCTGCATTCCATTTAAATAACTATATCAATTTAATTGTATTGTTCGCAGGTTGACTCGAACGGCCTCGCCTCCAAACCAGCTCTGATTGCCTCTATGCTGGACCCTCGTCACAAACATCTCAGCTTTCTGACACCAACAGGAAGACTGTCGGCAAAGGTGAAACTGCACGAACTGGTTGCAAAATTAGATGTGAAGACTCCTACTGTGGGCCTAAAGGATGAACACCAAGAGATCCTGGTCACACCTGATATCAGCCAGGAGGCAGCTATGCCCTCCCAACTGAGAAGTGACACCAAAAACACCATGATGTTGCTCCTAGGAGACAACTACAGTTCCTCCTATGCCACAGACTCTGAGGCTCAGGTCGATTACTATTTGAGAGACATTGCGCCCTCTTTGGACATAAACCCTCTTGACTGGTGGAAGGTAAATGGACCAAGATTCCCCAAACTGGCTACTCTGGCGAGACACTATTTGTGTGTACCCGGGGTATCACTGCCGTCTTTATTGTCAGAGTCTGGGCAAACATTTGCAAAAATGCGTACAAGACTGGCCCCAGAGCATGTTGACATGATGATCTTTGTAAACAGAAACGCATAACTTGTATGACAACTAGGGCTGTCAAGTTAACGCATTAATAACGCGTTAACGCAACAAAAAAAAATAACGCCACTAATTATTTTAACGCGATTAACGCATGTGTATTTTTTTGTCCTCGGCCGCCCCGTAGTTTCAGAGCGCATCGAGTTTAAAATACCATCTACAAGCTGATTTTGAGAGCCCCGCTCCTGCCGCACGCTTGTGGCAGACCACACTTCCACACTCACCGGTAGGCGCCGACTGGCCATCGGGAGGGTGTGTGTATGTGTGGCGCGAGCGAGAGACCTTACGTGTATTGTTGTTGTTAGCATCTGGTGCTAGCTAGCTGCGCTAACAGATATAAGGAGCTGTTTAAATGAAAACAGAGGAGCTACATTTCTGACTGCTTTTGTTACTCAGCTAATAACCTATATTCATGTTAGAGAATAGTTACTGTATGGCAGTGTTAGGTTGACCCTTTGATTAGATGTTTCAAGAGTATGGGAAAAGAAGCTGGTAGGTACTTTTCCACGGTTGATGTGTTATATTTGTAGGTGCAAGCAACGCTAAACATATGAATTTGTGTAGTCGACAAATGGTTAGATATTTTTCCCTCGACAGTTGTAATGAGCTGAGCTGCAATCAAATACCTAACTATCTAAATCTTACATTCAAATCATGGTAAACACAACCATCTTTAGCTGTCTTTGGCTCTTTTTTCTGCTGTAACAAATGTAAATGTCCCCTCTGTGGGACGAATAAAGGTATTCTGATTCTGATAAACCTCAATTGTAAAATAAATAAAGGAAAAAAAAGCACTGGTTTGTTCCTTTGTACCAAGATAGCATTCTTAATATGTGCATTTACAATACAGCTAGAAACTCACTGACCAAACTAATCACTGTATTATTAACAGAACAAATGTGTCTGTTGTGTCTCTCAGTATGTAAAGCAAAAATAAAATACATACAGCTGTAACAGGTGTGTAATGATCTGTCTGGGGACCAGTCGTTTCTGGCACATGCTCTTTCCATCCCATAGCACTGCCTCAGTGATGGCACCGTCCTGGAAGCGACGCAGCTCGGAGCGAGAACCCCACAGCTGGCGGAACTCAGCCGACTAGCAGAAGAAACACTATTATTGTTAACCATAACATACGCCTTGCAACACAAACTAAAACGACTTTAAAACGAGACAACCCACTTGAAAGAACAAGTTTTTCTCTTTTTCCCCCCAATAAGAAAAGCTTTTTTATAAGTTTATATTCTAGCCATACAAAAATATAAGTAATTGAGTTGTTTCTGTGAATGCTAAAACATTTTTTCCTGAATAATCTTTTTTGCAAACATACTTGATTTAGCATATGTGAAAACTTTCGTAAGGCCTTCAGTAATCAAACACTGTACGGTAAGTACAATGTAGCACAGAGTAGACACTAATATAGATGGGCTCTTTTGTAGCATTTTTTATATCTAGGAAAATAAACCACGCACAAAAAACAGACGGGTGGCTTACCTTAGGGCTGTCTGCAGGTGGGCCTCTCTCCAGGACAGAGGCTGCCAGCTCTGGCTTTAAAAGCAAACCGAAGCAGAGGGGAGGTTGGGCTTTGTGTTTTGGGGCTTCACTCTCCACAGACCACTGTAATAAAACAAAAACAAAGCTCAACACATTTAGTGATTTATGATTGTAAGGCACGTTCAAACTCAAGTTATGAGTCAAAAACATAGTGTTAAAAGTAGTAGTATTACTGCTGAATAAGAATCTGATCTATAAGACAAAATTGTAATGGAATTGTTATTGATAAAATCTTATCAATTCCCAAAGCCAGAAATTGGTAAACCCTGAATTCAAATGTTTCCCACCTCAGGGTCAGGAGAGAGGGAGTGGGTGAGGAGGCTGATCCTTTGGCCCAGTCCTTGCTGCAGCAGTGACAGAATAAAGGGGAGTGCAGTGTGGACATAATTTCCACTGTGGTCCATCAACTCACTGAGGAGGTCCAGTTTCTTACAGCTGGACTGAAGCTTTACCAGCTCACATAACCTGAGTAACAGATGAAAAACACAAAACAGATGATGTGACCAGGGGCCTCATTTATAAAGGGATATACGCTCAAAAAATGGCGTACGGCAGTTTCTACGCAATGTTTGCGATTTATAAAATACTAACTTGACGGGAAAACGTGCGGTCCTCCACGCAAACTCTAACCCATGCGTACGCACTAAGCACAAATACGGGAGACACAAACTGCGACACCGTTGGCAGAAGGAAGAATGGAGAGTAATATGTGGAAATAATACCATAAATAAAATGTTACCTCTCATTTATCATATATGAAGAATTCATTTTTCAAACATTGNNNNGGATATGTTATTTAAAACCGCCTCGAATATGTTGTGTTAATGTTATGAAATGTTTTCTCATAAATTATGCGGTAAGCAGGACAGAATTACGTCTAAATTGACGTCGTTTTGCATTTCTATAGGTTGTAGATACGAGCATGGTTTTAGATATGTTTAATACATGTTCAATCGTGTTTTATGCCGTTTGCCAAGACTTGATAAGTTGCTCGTAAAACACAGGAGGTATGGAAACTAAGAGCACCATATGTGGTAAGTTGTACAGCTAATATAACACATTAGTTGTATTTCCTTTAACTTGTGGATATAGAGTTGCGGCGG